AGTTTATATCAGCTCACAAATGGATCTTTAAAAAGGCAGAATGGATTTCAAACAAAAGAAAAATCAGGAGGGCACTTTTAGAAATTGTCATCAAAATTTTTTTTCTCCAGAGTAGTGACCACACAGTCCCATGGTTTATAGAAGATAAAATATTAAAAGGTGTCTTTACGTTTTTTGCCTCTAACTGCTCTCCTAGGGACCCAAGAACATGCAATCTGTAGAAGTTAATGGGGACTTTTCAGCACAAATAAACACTCCAACTCCTCTTCTAAAATGGAGATGAAAATCAATTTCCCTTGTTAAGGAAGGGCTGCTATTTGTATTGATTGAGTAATGCATTGCCCTATTCCTAAAAGCAGGATTTTTTTTTTAAAGAAACAGAATACTTCAGGGACACACTAAGATTTCTCACCGACCACTGAACTCTGATAAGCTGCCACTCTCTCACTTGGACCAGCATTTAATTTTGTACAGATGTCATATAAACTGACCTCCAAGTATTCAACCAAAACCTCACTTCTTTCCCTTTGGTCTCTGTGTTTATCTGGAAGGGGGAGGCTGCAGACACAGAGTTGCTTCTATGGCCTCGTAAGCATGTGATGGGCTCCTGCCAGGTAGGCAAGATGTGGCCCGTGGATCTTTACATAGAATTTCCTCAATATCAGTCTTTTGCAGGTGCCGTTTGCTTACTGGTCCTAATAAATGTCATCCCAGAGGAATCCTGTTTTAGTGATTAACATCAGTACATCCGGTCCTCTGTAACAAAGATATTTCCACGTTCCTACAGCCAGCCCAGAAGAGCAGAGCTTTGCTGATCTGGTTTCAATAAATCTTGTTAACCAAAAATTCAACAGAACAGATGTTTTTTACTTGTCCTTGTTAATGTATGGATGATTCTTTATTTCAAAGGTAGTATGATTTTGGCATTTACGATATGTGTTCAGCATTAAGCATTTCTAAATCGTTTCCATTTTGCAAAATGTTAGTATTTAAAAAGAAATTTGTGGCATGCATTCAGAAAGATCTGAAGGGCTAACTGGAGGTGAAAAGTGAGATGATTCTTAAAATCAGGGTAAGGAAATTGGCCAATAGGGTTTTCAGTTAGGGTCCCTTTAGAGAAAACAAAACAAAAAAATCAAGTTCTTGTTCGTAATGCCTTGCTTAGTACAATGTAGTGATAAGTCTTCTGTTAAATTAAATTAGAATATAACTAGAAAATCTGGATGTCAGGTCAGTTGATTAAATGAGGTGTTCTTTGCACTGACCTTTTTAAGGAAGAGAATACTGTTTTTTCTACAATAACCCAAGAGTTTTTTAAAAAAAGTTTTAGAATAGAATACATCGGTGCTCAGTACTCAAACCAGTATGGTGCTTGTGATGAATAAAATATGTATAAATCATAGATAATGTCTGTTAGTTGACTAATGTTCAACAGTGATTATCCAATGAGAACTTTCTGTTTTTAAACTGCACTGGCAGCTAATATTTGTCCTGATAACTGCCTTGGTTAACAGTTCTGAGGCTATTCAATTCATTGTTTTTAAACAGAAATGCCACATCTATTGATTTCCTGATTGTTGACAGACATGACTTTTTTTTTTTAAGTATATGCACCAGGAAATGAACCAGGATTACTACACGCTGTGCTAAGGAAAATAATAAAAGTGAAAGAAATATAGTATTTTTAGATAAGACTGTTTCCTGAATCTTTAACGGTATCGTACAAATTTGCCCACCATACGTTAGACTATGAACATTTATGGCCTATATTTCTTCCTACTGTAGACAATACTACTTATCTACCTACTCCTCAGTTATTTTCTTTCAACAATGCTAAACCCAACTTGTCTTCATAAAGTTCAAAAAGACAAAGAAGTGAGCAATTCTATCAACTGCAAAGAAAAGAGAGTTATATAAGAATAAGTCTTCAGGGATCTGCTGAGCAAAAAGAAAGCCCAAAAGAAGAAACAGAAGAGTCTGGAAGTTTCACAAGAGCAGTGACGGATTTTGGGTCGTCTTCATATAGTTCTCTTTTTACTAAAGTGTATCAGCACTTTTGACTTCTCTCTTTTGTAAAAATAACCTCTGTTCTCTTGTACTTCAAAGCGATCGCTTCCATAATTTGGAGATTTTTAATACTCGTTCCACACAAATGCAATTTGTAGATAGTCATTGAAATGTAAATATCAGATGATAGCATCTTGGGGGAAAATAGCCTTTTGGGAAGTTAGAGATTCAGAACCTCTCCGGCTATCAATGAGTTACTTGCCTTTTTTGTGTGACTGGTAATTTAAAAGGCTATTTGATCCTAGATTCTAGACTAGCTTAGAGTTCAGCCCTGGATCTTGTGTTATATATATGAAAGCCTTCTTCAGCGTTGTGTATGTTCTAAGCTGACGTAGTATTAATGTTGTTTAAGAAAACATATTACATTTACAGGAAGCGTTTATAAGTCAAAGCCATCCAGTTAAACACGACTAAGGTTGTCTAGTCATGCATTAATTACTAATATAAAAAAAAACCTTCTATAATAATTTATGAATTTATTTATATACATTTATATGTATTTATTTACATAAATTATATAAACTGTGAGGATGGGATGTCTCAAATGCCTAATGTTCAGCCACCAAAGCAAATGTGGTCAACTTTAGTGTTTTGGGATCTTCCCAGAAGTAGATGGCAATGAATTTAGAATGAATTCTCTTATTCCAAAACTCTAGGCCATTCAAGCATACTATTTTCTCTGGACCCCTGAAGAGGGCTTTACTAACCACGGGCCTGCTACAGAAAACGGGTGTTTATCAGAGATTCCCATGTAATAGACTACCTCCGCCTTCCATGGTGTGGGTTTTATGCTATGAGATAAACTGACCTTTTGGATGAAAGGTGCCTGACCTCCCCTTCCCCTGCTGGTGATTTCTCTCCCCTGACAGCTGCCCTTACAAACAAACTGCTAGGTAGCACTTTGACAAATGAGGCTTGGCCAGGATCCTTTGTTTCTCTGAATTCAGCCAACAAGCTGGCATTCCAGAAGCTCTTTAGGGGGCCATGAGTTACTGTGAGGCCAGACCTGCGCTTCCTCCTCCCCAGTGATCCCTGTGGCCACACGTTCCCATGATCTGTGGGGCCAGATGATGCTGTTCCCAGTTCGCATTCCACCCCGGCAGGGCACTCTCAAAATAAATAATATTTACAGCAGAGTTCAGAGCTGGGGAAGAAACGCGGGAGAAAAATGTATCTTCAGAGTAAGTAGAAGAGATGCTGGAATCCATTGGATTTGTGGTTTTTAAACCATTTTTTTCCACGGGACTCCAGAAATCTTCATAAGTAGATAGGGACCTGCACTTATGAAAATCCCAAATTCCAATGCCAAATGAAGGTCATAAAAAAGTGACAAAGAAAAAAAAATATAACAAAGTATAGTTTCTATAACCAGAAAGCATTCTCATTCAACAAATTCAGTCAATGGTTACTGGCCACCTACCAAGTTCAAGGTCTTCACAGTCACTGTCTATATAAAAATTTGATGACCTCTTCTTTATGCCAAGAACTTAGGAAACCTAAATAAAGGGGGCCTGGAGGTCTCCCTACGCAAATATTCAAACAGAGCAGAAGGGACAACATTGAGATCGGCGTCGGCAAACTACAACCCACTGGACAAATCTGGTTCTCTGCTTGTTTTTGTACAGCCTGTGAACTACGAATGGCTTTTACATTTCTAAATGATTGGGGGAAAAATCAAAAGGAGAATAATATTTTGTGATACATGAAAATTTATATGACATTCAAATTTCCACGTCCATAAATAAAGTATTATTGGGACACAATTGTACTCATCCGTTTACCTCTCAGCTAGGGCTGCCTCTACACTTAGAAAGGGACAGGTGAGTCACTGCAACAGAGACTGGATGGCCTGAAAAACCCAGGATATTGACTGTCTGGCCCTTTACAAAGAAGTCTGCCAGCCCTTGTGTTAGACAGACAAGTATAGGTGTCGCCAATGGAAGTAGTTGGCGCTGCACCTATAAATCAAATCCCTCAAAGCATAGGACAACACACACATTTTTAGATGGAGTAGAGGTATGATTTGTGTTTCCTTTTAATGTCAATTTGCTAATTTCCTGTTGATGGGCCAGAACTACAGGCCTTGACACTTGGCTTTCCTGCGTATGTGGTTCGCTCTTTTTGCCTCTGGACCCTGATTTTAAGGAATGGGCTATCCTGGATTTTTATTTTTTCAGAGGAGTTTGATCAAACAGAAGCCCAGGACTAACACCTGTCTTGGAGTAGACAGTCCTGCTGGTGGATGGCTACTCCCTCTGCTCTGTGCAGGTTATGACGATCAGCAGAGATTTTGAGGCCATCTCAGCTATATTGGTCAACGCACAGTGCTTAATGAAGTGAATGACAAGATTCAAGTTTGCAGTTTTACAGGGTGATTAAAGCCATTCCCAGGTTCCCAGTAGTTAAATCTGTTTATGTTTTCTCCATGCAATATCCTCAGAAGGAAAGTGGAAGTGGGATAGTTATGTTGTAACACTTTCAGGAAAGCAATCTCCCATCAGGACAGCATTTTGTCCCTTGAGGGGCAGGGATTAAATTGAGAGGAAAAGAAGGTGTCCCCATCCTAGCTAGGACTGTCAGGTTATCTTGCAACCATAATTCACACTGCAGAGGTGATTCCTGGCTCCATGAGACACATGAGCAACCTGTGAACAAACCTGAGGACAATGGCCACGTGTGACACTGGGCTCTGATCTCAGCTTTTTAGTAACCTCTGAGCTTTTCATGTGGTATAGAACATCCTCCGTGCTATCACTATGTTTTCTCTGTCTGATCTATCTGCTTCAGTTGACAAGTTGAGAGTTGGATCTCATCCTTAACATATAATATTAATAAAGTATCCTTCTACAAGGGACAGGCAGAATAGTTTCTTTTAATAGAGAAGAAAGGGATATTTTTAAGCAAAAACAAAAAACAAACTTTTGTAAACTCACCTAGAAAAATCTCCCTTTGCCTCCTGTAGAAGAAAAAAAATTCAACATCAGTGAAACACACTAAGCCAGACTTTAAAACACATTCTATAATCATGACATTTCCTCTACGGGGTAAGTTCCGCTTCCTACAGCTGGCATCCTATTTGCTATGGGTGTGTAACTAAGAAGGAATGCATGCATTTGTCATTTGAATATGACACATGAAATGAAACTTTAGAAAGTTATATACAAAGAAATTGATTCATATTGGAAAAAGGCCACATTTCCACCTCCAAGCCCTGGTCTACCTTGTTCTAGCTTAAAGATTCTGAATCTGAATGTGTGCTGGGATAGAACTATCTATTTCTTCTGTCATTCTTTGTTTTGCTTTGTATTGCAGGCTATTTCCCAATTATACTGAAGACTTTGGAGGCAGAAACCATGTAAACTTTAGTGAATCTAGCATAATCCTTTAAACAAAGTAGTTGTTCACAAATACTTATTGAAGGAATAAATGATATCATTTCCATTCATCTTGTCACTGTTCCAGCTAAGACACTGCGACATCTTTTCTGCATAAGCTAAAGAGCTTTTCCTTGTTTTTCTAGGGGGCACAAGGTGATTCTTTGGTGACTAATTCTAGCTCTTCACTTGGCCTTCCCCAGGATGGAGGCACCAACCCCCACCGAATGGAGTCATTAAATGATCTCAGTTTCTTCCAGGCTCAGGTGAAACATACAACTTTCCTTTTCAGAGAAATGCTATCTTTTTAAAATTTTGAAATCCTAAGAGCCCCTATTCATGGCCATGGCATCAGTGTCCCTAAAAGCTCTTTGTAGCTTGTGGCTGGGGCAAAGTTAAGATGACAGTTAGTGGACAGAGCTACTGGCCTGGCCGTGCGTGCTAAGTCTCATTTCCTCACTCTTCTGGGTAGGGCCCTGGGATACGCAGGTGAGGGGAGAACTTACCTGTAAAATATAGGAAGCTAATTCAAACACCACTTCACTGTCAACGTCAATAAGCTCCTGAAAGGAAAAACCAACAAGGAAGACAAGATT